CACTTGAGCTACAGCGCCACTTCCGGTTTTCTGGTGGTTTATTGGAGATAGGAGTCTCACGGTCTCTCCTGCCCGGGCTGGCTTTGAACCACGATCCTCAGATGGATCCTCAGGTGGATTACAGGCGTGAGCCACCAGCGCCCGGCTATGCTTTGGAGTCTTAATAGTTTCAAAATTGGTAGTGTGGTAGAGATAGGTGAATAAAGTAGTTTCAACTAGAATCTAACCCATTTCTCACTCATGTCCAAGTAGTGAAATTTTACCTCTACAGTCCTACATGAAGCCCTTTTGTCAGCTTCATGAGTTTAGGTAACATGGCCCTTGGAAGAAAGTCTAAGTTATGGAATCTCTTTAGATTGATTATGTTTACTGAATAAATATGTTGAAAATAATTCTTTCACACTAAAGATTTCATATCAGAAAAACAAATTTAGCTTATACTGAAGTATGATTTTGGAACTTACATTGCTTTCTTTTGACTGTATTTTAGTTTCTATTGAGGTTTGAACTCAGGGTCTTGAGCTTTTCCTTGGCTTTCTCCCTCATGGCTGGTGGTTCTGCTGCTTGAGCCATACCTCTACTTCAGCATATGTACTAGTTAATTGGAGATGACTTTTGAAGATTTTCTGCCCAGGCTAGCTTCAAATGTGATTCTCAGAGCTCAGCCTCCTGAGTAGCTAGGATTGTAGGTGGGATTCACTGGTGCCTGGCTTACACTAATTGTGTGTGTGTGTGTGTGTGTATGCGTGTATGCTAATCCCGGGCTCCTGAGTAGCTAGGATTGTAGGTGGGATTCACTGGTGCCTGGCTTACACTGTGTGTGTGTGCGTGTGTGTGTGCGTGCGTGCGTGCGCGTGTGCTAATCCCGGGCTTGAACTCAGGACCTGAGCGCTGTACTTATGTTTTTGTGCTCAAGGCTGGCATTCTACCATTTGAACCACAGTTCTACTTCCAGATTATATGGGTAATTAATTGGAGATAAGAGTCTCATGGGCTTTTCTGCCTGGGCTGGTTTTGAACTGCAGTCCTCCGACCACAGGCTCCTGAGTAGCTAGCATTACAGGTGTGAGCCATTGACACCTCGCTACATTGATTTTTTTTTTTTTTGTCCGTTGTGGGGCTTGAACTCTGGGCCTGGGCTCTGTCCCTCAGCTCTTCAGCTCAAGGCCAGCGTTCTACCACTTGAGCCACAGTGCCACTTCCAGTTTTCTGGTGGTTTATTGGAGATGAGAGTCTCATGGAGTTTCCTGCCCAGGCTGGGTTTGAACTGTGATCCTCAGATCTCAGCCTCCTGAGTAGCTAGGATGACAGGGGTGAGCCACCAGCGCCCAGCTTACATTGACTTTTTTTTTTTTTTTTTTTGGGTCTGGTCATGGGGCCTGAACTCTGGGCCTGGGCGCTGTCCCTCAGCTCTTCAGCTCAAGGCTAGCGCTCTACCACTTGAGCTACAGCACCACTTCCGGCTTTTTTCTTATGTGGTGCTGAGGAATCGAACCCAGGGCCTCAGGCATGCAAGGCAAGCGCTCTACCACTGAGCCAACTTCCCAGCCCCTTACATTGACTTTTGAGGTCTTTTTTTCATTAAGGCATTTGTAGCTATGGATTTCTATTTGAAAGAGAAAGCCTTGTAAGTGATGCCTAAGTTTTATTGGAATTTAGTCATTTATGAAATAATATACATTCTTGGGGTAGTCATGCTTAAGATACATGGACAATTTCATAATTTTTATATTGCTGATCTACTTTTCTAGACAAATTTGTTTTCTGACTGGTTTGTTCTCTGGATATCTGTAGTGGATGTAATTCTCATTTTTCCCTTGTTTTCTTTCTTGTATTTTCTCTGTACAATTTAACATGTCATATATTGTATAGAACTTTTCTCTTTTTTCTTTTTTGGTAGTGATGTCAGGTATCCAACCCAGGGCCTTGTACATGGGAGGTAAGGGAGGCAAGTAATTTACCACTGAGCTACATTATATAGTTCTGTAAAAATAGTTCAGTTCATTTTTTTTTTTGTCGGTCATGGGGCTTGAACTTTGGGCTTGGGCGCTGTCCCTGTGCTCTTCAGCTCAAGGCGAGTGCTCTATTGCTGGAGCCACAGCATCACTTCTGGTTTTCTAGTGGTTTATTGGAGATAAGAGTCTCACTGACTTTCCTGCCCGGGCTGGCTTTGAACCCCGATCCTCAGATCTCAGCCTCCTGAGTAGCTAGGATTATAGGTGTGAGCCACTGGCGCCTGGCTTAGTTCAGTTCATCTTTACAACTACCCTGTGAGGTATTTAGGCTGGAGATAAAAAACAGGATTTTTAAATGGAATGAGTGATTTGCCCAATATGAGAGCCACTGGTAAGTGGTAGAACAGAGATTTCCAACTGAACAGTCCTTGCTCTGCCCATTATGCCATACATTGATGTCTCCTTAATCTTTGCTTATAATCGAATTTTCCCTTCCCAATTTGTTTGGACATACTTCCTCCCTGTGCATATCTTCATTTAATTTTTCATTCTGAAAAATTTCAGACTTGAGTTGTAAAAGGCTAGAATGGTGGTATGCACATGTAAATCTCACTATTTTTGAGGCCAAGGCAGGTGGATGATGGGTTAAATTATTAACATAAATATTATACCCTTTGTCTTTTGTTGTTGTTGTTGGTTGTGGAGCTTGAACTCTGGACCTGGGTGCTGTCCTTCATCTAAAGGCTAGTATTCTATCAGTTGAGCCACAGTGCCACTTCCAGTTTTCTGGTGGTTAACTGGAGCTAAGAGTCTCGTGGTCTTTCCTGCTGGGGCTGGCTTTGTTTGTTTTTTTGGGTCCAGTTGTGGGGCCTGAACTCTGGGCTTGGGCGCTGTCCCTCAGCTCTTCAGCTCAAGGCTAGCGCTCTACCACTTGAGCCACAGCACCACTTCTGGCTTTCGGGCTGGCTTTGAACCTGATGCTCAGATCTCAGCCTCTTGAGTAGCCAGGATTACAGGTGTGAGGTACTGGTGCCTGCCTACACCCTTAGTCTTATAGTCTCAAGACCTTGGATTCTGCCTAAGCTCCTCTCTGTTTCAAAGTCATCCCTTTTCTCTGTCCCTCTAAGCCTATGTTCCAATACTGTTGTGTTGGAAATCTAGCAACAGTTTTAGAGAATGACCTGGCTTTGGTGTTTTCTGATCCTCATAGTGGAGCTAACCTTTGTGGCTCTTCTGCTCTGTATTGTCTGCTATATGGGTTTATAAGACTACTTAGTACAATTTTTTATGTCAAGTAACCTTTTAGGAAATACAAAATTATGCCTATGCAATGCTGCTGAGAAACTAACCTTTGTAGAAGACCTGGAGAGTTTTGAATAGCTAGTTAATGTGTTTAAATGTCCAACATGTATCTAAGTAGAACATAGAAAAGTGCTTTTGGGGGCTGGGAATGTGGCTCAAGTGGTAGAGCACTTACCTTGCATGCATGAGGCCCTGGGTTCGATTCCTCAGCACCACATAAGCAAAAAGAAAAAAGCCGGAAGTGGCGCTGTGGCTCAAGTGGTAGAGCACTAGCCTTGAGCTGAAGAGCTCAGGGACAGCGCCCAGGCCGAGTTCAGGCCCCACGACTGGATCTCCTCCCCCCCCAAAAAAAGTGCTTTTCATGTAACTTTTTACACCTTTGCAAATAGGTTAGACCTTTATTTTGATGATTGAAAAAAAATGTCATTATTTAAAGGGAAAGTGAGGCAACAAGGCTTTGGTAATATGTGACAATAATAGAATTGCTTTACTAAGGAACTGATAACATTGATCTAACGTTGTATGTTAGTCAAATGATAAAGAGTATTGTGATCAGAAAATTCTCTCTGAACTTATTAATATTCTTACTTGGCCATAACAATACTTTAAAAAATAATATTCTTTATTAAAATTTTGAAAGAGTTTGCTTTGAGCTAAACAACTGAATTATCAGAGTTTTTTTTTATTTTTTACTTTTTTGCATTTTTGTGTGTGTATGTGTGTGCTGATACTGATCTTTAACTCAGGGCCAAGGTGTTCTACCTTAGCTTTTTCACTCAACGGTGGTGCTCTATCACTTGAGCTATATCATCACTTTTGACTTTTTATCTGGCTAATTGGAAATAAGAGTCTCACAGACTTTTCTGTCCAGGCTGGCTTTGAACCACAACCCTCAGATCTCAACCCTGAGCTACTCAGATCCTGGATTATAGGCATGAGCCACTGATGTCTAGGATGGTCAGACCAGTGTAGAGTCTGTATTCTTTTTCTGATAATCCATTTTGGATGAAGATGATATTTTCTGTAAATGTCATCTCTGGAACCGGTAATAGCTGATGGACCTGATCCAAAACAGATTTATTCAAGTGTGTTTTGCTTCCATTTAGCTTCATGTAAAGAATGGTTCAAGTTCTTAAATTCTTTACAGCCTAGTTCTTTTCTGAAGCTGGGTTTTTATCTTTTGTTCTGCTGAAAAATTTCCAAGTACTTGAATATATTTGTCTCTTCAGCTAATACAATATCTAAGAACTTGTGTAAGCTAGGTTATATTTCTTTCTTTTTTTGGCCTTGAGATAAACTTTTATCTGGTTCTTCTTCCTTCTTAAAAAATATATTAAGTGGGAGAAATGAGGCTTTGTGAAAAAAATTCCAATCTACATTCAGGTGGTGGGACACTTAGAATGCAGGTTTACTTAGGAGCTATTTCCAATTATGAAACATATGGGAAAAATTCCAAGTTTTTATATCTTAAATCTGACCACTTAAGAATACAAATTAAATTTAAAAGGCCAAATATTTTTGTTGTTTGTAAGTGAACAAATTTGGTCCTGCTTGGAATCACTTTTCTTTTCTTTTCTTTTTTTTTTTTTTTTTGTTGGTGTGTGGCTTGAATTCTGGGCCTGGGCACTGTTCTTCAGCTCAAAGCTAGTGCTCTACCATTTGAGCCACAGCACCACTTCTGGTTTTCTGGTAGTTTATTGGAGATAAGAGTCTCACTGACTTGCTTTGAAACGTGATCCTCAGATCTCAGTCTCCTTAGTAGCTAGGATTACAGGTGTGAGGCATCAATACCTAGCATTTGGAATTACTTTTTGTATAAAAATTTGAAAGCTTGCTATGAAGAACATATTTTGTCATTTTTCACTTTCTTCCAGATTATAATTTGGAATTATTTTGAATGTAGCCTGTCTTGGTCTTCTTCTTTTTTTTTTTTTTTTAATCAGTTTTGGTTTTTACCTTCTTGCACTTGAGAGCCTTTTCTAGCCAACATATAGAAGTATATCTGTAGGTCTGTAGGGACCAAACCGGCGTCAGGGTTGTTTGCTGTGGTCCTGTTTGTGTGGAAAGAATGGTTATTACCAGGGAAGGTTTTCCTTTTGTTTTACTTGCTATCCAGATGCTGCTCAGACTCTGGCTCTCGCACAGGATCACAGTATGGATATTCCAAGTCAAGACCAACTGAAGGTAAAATCACCACACGGTGACTTCTTTTGTTGTACAGAGTGGCCCCTTCTCTGTACCTGTGGATCTTGGACTCCCAAGGCCTTTCCCCGAATGTAATAAGAATTTAATGAGAAAGGTTCTTGGGAGTTCACAGACCAGGGACAGAGTGAACCTTCTCTGTTCTGCCCATAACAGAGTTCCAGTCTCTGAATCTTTCTTTGGGATGTAGCACTTCTGATCTTCAGTTCTTCCAGTGCACTTTCTTTGGTTTGTGTTTGCCTGCGTGGATGTGTGGATATTTCAGATTGTGTATTTACACAAATGTTTAGGAAAACTATTTTATTAGATTTTACCAGACTGTTGTAGTTAAGTTTATGTCAGGCCATTTTATAAAGTCCCCTCAAGAACTTGGGGAAATAATCTTGGTATGTGGTGAGAATTTCACATGTTTTCTTGATTATGCTATTTTGTAGTAGTGGTTTTTACAGATAATCTGTTTTAAAAAGAAGATTTTGGCCTTTGTGCAGTTTATTTTCCCCATGTGTGGGATTCTCTTAGTGTTCTGTTCATAGAGATTGAGAAGATGTGTTGACTTTACTTGATGACTGGTTGTGAACTCCAGAGTTCTCTCTCAAGTGCATAACCCATTGTGTTGCACACTCACTGGTGAGCCAGAATGGAACTGCTACATCCCCTGGTCTCAGTCATTTCTACTGAACTGATAGACATCTCTCTCCCTTCTTTCAGCAAAGTGTGGAGGTAAAGCCCAGTTCCAGGAAAAGAACTGAAGAAGGTGATATTTCCACACTACCTATCTCACAGCATAAACGCAGAAATTCTAGAGGAGGTAATTTTGGATTAAGGCTGTGCAGACTTTTCTTTTTATAGTTTTCTTTAGTTTTTCCCCCTCCCCTTCTCCCCCTCTTCCCTTCTCCTTTTCTCTCCCTCTCTCCGTCCTGAATAGTTAGGATTATAGAAATGAGCATTCAGTGCCTGGCTCGTTAGAATGTTTTGTCCTGACCTTTTGAAGTAAAGACTAATTTTATAGATATATGTATTTATTTATTTGTTTATTTGATTGTGGGGCTTGAACTCTGGGCCTCGGTACTGTCCCTGAGCTCTTCAGCTCAAGGCTAGTGTTCTACCATTTGAGCCACAGTGCCACTTGTGGTTTTCTGATGATTTATTGGAGATAAGAGTCTGAACCAAGATCCTCAGATCTCAGCCTCCTGAGTAGCTAGGATTACAGGCATGAGCCACCAGTGCCTGACTAATTTTATAGGTTTTGAAGTTTGTAAACATGATAAAATACACATACTTACTTCCTAGTAGTTAAGTCTAGTAGTCACCAGATCTTTGCCAGCTAGTTAGGTGTGGTTAGGTTGTTGGAAGTTGTTCTAAAGGTTTTTTTTTTCTTTTTTTTTTTTTTCTGGGTCCGGTCGTGGGGCCTGAACTCTGGGCCCGGGTGCTGTCCCTCAGCTCTTCAGCTCAAGGCTAGCACTCTACCACTTGAGCTACAGCGCCACTTCCGGCTTTTTTCTTTTTGCTTATGTGGTACTGAGGAACTGAACCCAGGGACTCATGCATGCAAGGCAAGTGCTCTACCACTGAGCCACCTTCCCAGCCCTGTTCTAAAGGTTTAAATTAAATTTGAATCAATTTATTATGCTGCATTGTTTTCTACAAATTACATTTAAACATAAAATTAATTTTGGACTATTTTTCTTTGAACTTTTTAGTATGTATAATATTAAAGTTATAGTTTTAAAATTTAGATGCAAGTCTTTTTTTCTATTCAATATGATGCTTAAAAGTATACGAACAATCTGGGCACTGATGGCTCACACTTGTAATCCTAGCTACTCAGGAGGCTGAGATCTGAGGATCATGGTTGGAAGTCAACTTGGGCAGGAAAGTCTGAGATTCTTGTCAATTAACCACTAAAAAGTTGGAATTGGAGCTATGGCTCAAGTGATAGAGTGTTAGCTTTGAGTACACAAGCTCAGGGACAGTACTCAGGCCCTGTGTTCAAGCCCCAGAACTGGCAAAAAAATGCGCCAAAAACAAACAAAAAAACCCAATTCCCCCCCAAAAATCCAAAGTGTAAGTAAGAACAGTTATATATTTAAAAAAAAAAATCTTTGGGGCTGGGAAGGTAGCTCAGTGGGTAGAGCGCTTGCCTTGCATACATGAGGCCTTGGGTTCGATTCCTCAGCACCACATAAGCAAAAAGAAAAAAGCCAGAAGTGGCGCTGTGGCTCAAGTGGTAGAGCGCTAGCCTTGAGCTGAAGA